TTCAGACTATTAAACATTATTAAATATTACTGAACCTCTAAATGAAAATGTACCCAAAAAAATTCTTACTATAAAAAACATTTAAAAAAAAGCCAAATTCATTCCATACTCTCTTTCTCGGATTAACCTCACTCTGCTTTAATTATCATTTCAAGATATTGTAACTTTAAAATTATTTAAATTACTTTTTTAATTATTTCCCTCCCTCACAAATTTTTATTTATGGCAATTTATTACTTCTTCAAATTTTCTTCTGTCGATCATACATAACGAAAAATCATATTGATCAACTTATTAAAATTAAAAACATTATATATATATTTTTTCCTTTTCTTTTTCGTTTTTTTTAAAGACACATAAAATTCACATCCTTCCTATATTGTTTTTTTTTTTTTGGCCTGACCTTCCTATATGTTATTTATTTACCCCACTTCTAATTTTTATCACGTGGTTCTGCCAATGTGAGGGAACCACGTGGCACTTGATGAGCGATAACTAATATAAACGAGGGAAATGCATGGCGGGCATGAAGTGCATGGCAATGTTTTCAGTTTTCGTTGCCTTCTGCTGAAACCGTTTCTGGTTTTGCTACTGATATTCATTCCGCACTTTGCTATTTGCTATCCATGTTTTTCAAATTAAAGTACAGCTAGCCTCACAGGCATCTCTTTTTTCTTTTTCTTTTTTTCATTTTCCGCAAAATTTTGACGAAAAAGCAAAAAGAAGATAGCGTGAAAATCAGAAGCAATGGCAGCTGCGGTGCTTGGGAGAGTGGTATGGAAAATAAGTTTAATCTATGTTGCCCTAACAACAAGACGTCGTCGAGGGTCAGAGTGGCTTCGAAGCTTGGGTTCGCCTCTTCACAATTGAGTGGATTCCAATTCTTGCATCGCTTGCTCTCGCCGTTCACTAAAATTGGGCGCAACCCCTTTCTGCAGCGCCATTGCTACCTGCTTCACAACCTGTTGCTCGTAATTCTTCTCTCTGTTTTGTGTCCCATTATATTTCCTTTCCCTTTATTTTCAAAACTTCGTAACTTTTACTTTTATTCTGAATTTGACTCATTCATCTCGTGGCTCTGAACTAATCGATAAAGAGATAATACTTTGGCGGCCTGTCATGCTTCCATTCCGTGCATGCTCTGTTGTTATGGAGCCCTGTCAGTATTTTTATAAATTGACTGCGCTGCGCGAAAATTATAGGATTATACGTCGCCTTGCAAGATGCTTGAAGTGAAGGAAATTGAATTTGTTTTATCTTATTAGACGACTTTGCCAGGTTGCTTTCTTCCTTGTCTTGTCTTCTTTTTCCACCAGTGTACGTAGTGTGTCCAAAGGAGCACAGACCGCAAAGAAATATCCTTTTTTCTCTCAACTACTCTAATTACTTCCATAGCTTTTCATACGTTGTTCTTTTTTTTTTTTTTTTAAATTTCTTTGATTTTGATACAATCCAACTCATCTTCTGTTGGATTAAATTATAGTAATTTGAACTTAATTAGATATTTATCATATGTAACCGGCGATTTGATCGTGTGCAGATATATAGCTTAATGCGCTCACCTCTGGCAGATTTATATTTCATTTCTGTTATGCTTGGACAGGAAGATAAATAGTGATCTGCTCCGTATTTGCCACTCCATCATTTTCTTTTAATGATTTAAGGGATAGACAGTAAGTTTTTTTTCTCTTGGCCGGCGGATAGATAGTAATTGTTGAAAATTATAAGCAAAATTAAACCTATGGCCTCCTACTTACAGGAAAATTTTCATGCTTCTAAGTCATAACGTCATTAACTCTACTTTACTTTAAGAGACCCATGTATACCCCTGTACTCATGCTCAATGTCTGCTTTAAAATTGCTCGGAGAAGTTATGAGTTACAATCATTTGACCCCTTTTTTTTTTGCATAGTATGCTAATCTTTGTTATCAATAGTTTTTAAAGTTGTCCAATTCTGAGCATGACAATGGTCATCATGGTTACACTCGTATGCAGATCTTGAGCCACAACAAGCAAAGACTGCATGTTTAGAGTGTTTTCAATATAATAGATCTCATCTCAATTGTTATGTACCCTTCCAATTTAAATTTTCGCTTTAGTTATTGAAAAAATTAATCATTCATCCGCCTTCTCGTACTTGCCTGCGCTTTAAAATCATGTCACAACATCCATATAGTCTCACAAAAATATTTTTGACATGCAGTAACAAGAGCAGTTTTAACCAGCGATACAGAAACAAAAGTTCCTGATATCAAGGGCAGCGGGCTTCGTGGAAAATTAAATAAGGTTGTGCTAGCTTACAGCGGTGGCTTAGACTCATCAGTAATTGTTCCATGGCTAAGGTATATATGGTGTTTTTTTGACCCTTACTGATCACCATAGCTAAACTTCCGTTGCAAGTTTGCAGAATTTGATTCCCTTGTCTGATTTTATAGATCCTGAATAACAATAATTAGGGTTATGGAGAATTTTATTCTTTTTTTCTTATACTGATTTGTTGAAGAGAACTAGAGGCGTTTCCTTGCACACTAGGTAAAGTCCGAAGAATATATATAGTGATTTGGATATAGACAAGCTAATAGACTTGAACTTTTGTAGAAAAAGCATGGAAGGGAAATAATGGGGATCTTTAGTTTTTTTTTTTTTTTAATTCAGATATTTTTTTTAACTCTGGTTTTACTGTTAAAAGCTTATTCGTCACGTGATTGATGCTTGGTTGCGCCTAATATCATTTCATTCTTGTTATAATTCCTTTCTTCGATGACCTTTAATTTGCAGAGAGAATTATGGCTGTGATGTCGTTTGCTTCACAGCTGATGTTGGCCAAGTATGTTATAACTAATAGACATCATTTCCTATAATCAATGCTATTCTTGTGTTGTTGGGAAAGATGAAAAGATGCTTCATGATTGTATATTTCAATGAAGTTTACTACGCCTATATTATTCTCTTTTCTGTGTGTTTGATATTTAACGTCAAACTCTACAGGGTGAAAAAGAATTTGAAGGTTTAGAAGAGAAGGCCAAAGCCAGTGGAGCCTCTCAGTTAGTAGTGAAGGATTTGAAGGAGGAATTTGTTCGGGATTATATATTCCCTTGCTTGCGTGCTGGTGCAATATATGAGAGAAAGTATCTTCTAGGGACTGCAATGGCTCGCCCTCTTATGGCAAAAGTATATTTTGAAACATTTTTGCCTCTAAGTTTGATATATTCAATCAGCTCCTATGATAGAAACAAATAACAGTATTAACTGTATTCACATTTCTTCAGCTAATGGTTGGTACGATTTTAGGCTCTGGCCTTCTAATTTCAACCTAGTGCCTTTTTTAGTCATAAATCTTTTGGTGAAAAAGAGGAAAAGAAAATAAAAGTCAAATTCTGATGTGTCAGGTCTCTCAACTTCTAAAAGTACACGTTTTTCGAAGAGAGAAAAGAAATAGTCAGTTAAAACCCAGACTCTATGTGGAGCCCACATGGCTGTGTCTCTCTTCCACAAGCACTTCTCCTAATAGAGAGAAGAAGAAGAACTTGGTCCTTATCTAAGATACTTGTTTTGTTATTTTTATGTATATTTGCTAATAGACCATGGTAGATGTTGCAAAAGAAGTTGGAGCAGATGGCGTGGCTCATGGTTGTACTGGGAAAGGAAATGATCAGGCATGTCTTAGAATTACGTCCAAAGATATTTTTGTCGCCATTTTTTTTCTTCTGACACAAGTTAGTATCATATAGGTTCAATTTGAGCTCACATTCTTAGCTTTGAATTCCAAGCTTAGTGTTGTGGCTCCATGGAGGGAGTGGGACATTACAGGTAGGGAAGATGCTATTGACTATGCAGAGAAGCATAAAGTGCCTGTTCCTGTGACAAAAAAGTCCATATACAGCAGAGACAGAAACATTTGGCACCTTAGTCATGAGGTAAAATTACAAAGGTTTCTTATTTATTTTCAAAACCTATATATAGATTTTCCTTAAAACGAAAAGCAAATGACCCAAATTTCAATTGAGTTTTGTTGAAATGTACTAGTCTTTCACATATATTTTTGAAGTGTACATAAACCTCCTTTGAAAATAGAGGAGATGTATGGGCAGTTTCCTCTGTTATGTTTTATTTTCTACATGTCTTTTTCTCTTTTTGGCTAGAAGCTTGAATGAAAGAGACTTCCAAGGTTGCAAGTCATTGAGACGTATAATAATCTGTTCCAGGTTTCACATAAGTATACAGATTCTTCTAATTAAGCAAATTTACTGTAAGTAATTCCAAGGTATCTTCTTTTTAGTACTGGATGTTACCATAATAAACCTCTATAAATCTTTTTAATTTACGTTTGTTTTTAATTCCAGGGCTTTTTGAGATTATTAAAAGAACCCAATGGTTTGATTAGTTATGACATTTGAATCATCAAATTGAATGCATAATTTGATTTTCGTATTCCAAATATGTAGGTTAATGTATCTACTGTTATTCTTTTTGCTGAGTCCTAAAAACCAGAAATTATAGGCATACAGATATTGATATTGCTTTCTGCTATTTTCGCAATCTGTGTGACGCTGAAGGGTGATATATTGGAAGACCTAGCAAACGAGCCGAAAAAGGAAATGTACATGATATCTGTGGATCCAGAGGATGCTCCAAATCAAGCAGAGTATATAAATCCTTATGCTCTTATTCTGCTATGAAGCCCCAAAACTTTAAAAACAGTATCGGACTACGCACTTCGAATTGCAATTAAACATTGAATATTTTGTCTAGTGGTGATTTCTTTCCCGTGTATATAGTGTCACATATCTATATTATTAATATTGGTGCTTCATAGTGTTCAAGTTTCTGCTATCTTGCAGATATGTGGAAATTGGGATAGAGTCAGGATTACCTGTTTTGCTTAATGGGAAGAGGCTTTCACCAGCATCCTTGCTCTCTGAACTCAATGAAATTGGGGGAAGGCACGCTGTTGGCCGGGCCGACATGATCGAGAACAGGCTTGTGGGTATGAAGGCTCGAGGAATTTATGAAACTCCTGGGGGAACCATCCTTTTCACAGCAACACGTGAGTTAGAGTGTTTGACACTTGACAGAGAAACAATCCAAGTGAAAGATTCATTAGCCTTGAAATATGCAGAGTTAGTGTATGTGGGAAAGTGGTTTGATCCTCTTCGAAAGTCCATTGATGCCTTCATGGAGAAGATCACAACAACCACAACAGGTTCTGTGACATTGAAACTATACAAAGGCTCTATTACTGTGACTGGCCGGAACAGCCCTTACAGCTTGTACAGGCAAGATATTTCATCTTTTGAGAATGACCCAATCTATGATCAAGCTGATGCTACTGGGTTTATACAGATATATGGCCTTACAACAAGGGTGAGAGCAATGCTTGAGCAGGGTATCTAATACTTCTTTTTCTCCAATTCTGTGTATTTTTACTGGGAAATACCACTGACTTCATTGTTCTCATATCTATGGTATCTCAACTTCACATTCAGTTCCTCTAATGTGTTTGGCATCAAGGTTGAGGCATGTAAGCGGATATTTTGTACTTCAAAAGCTGTTTTAGACCTTTCACTTGTGTTTGGCATAATGTTTTCTACAGCTCAATTCTGGCCCAACCAACTTACGTTAAAAGTGATGTATCTTTAGTCTTTATATTGCTTTTTCCAAAAACAAAAAAGCCGTGTCACTAACGTGGAGAGAGAAGGGGAAAATGACGCTGAAATAAAAAACGGAAAAAAAAATCTTTTAAAATGTGAGTCTCACCTTGTTTTAATAAAAGAAAAAATAAATATACTCTAAATTGGAAAAAACATGAAATAGTATTCGAAAGCCATATGTCCAAAAAAAACATATTAAATATATCCACTTAAATTTTGTAGTATTTACAATTTCTTTTCAATATACATTAACTCTTTTTATTTTTATAATTTTAATTTTAATATTTCTCTTGAAATTATCAAATTATATAGTATATAAATACATGTATTTAATAAAACTTATCTTATTTTCAGTCACTTTACATTTTAATTTACTTTGCAATTATATCATTTAAACAAGTTTTAGTTTGTCAAACTAAGGTTTTTTTCTTCATAAAAGTCTATTTAAATATAAATTACACTAAACTAACTATCTTTTACACTAGTTTCAAAATTTGCAAGAGTCAGCTGAGATAAAACTTTGGCTATATCTAGAGAGGGCTGTTGTATTTTCTCCTGAAAATGTTAGGAATGTAAGTAAAACTTGGAAGTCCCCGTTTAAGAACCATATAGATCCAACTCCTATACCAAAGTTATCAGAACTAAATTTGCTTCAAGAGCCATTAGAGGGACGATATATGGTAATAATCATTGGTGTTCACAAAAGTTAAGAAATTTGGTACATAGTTGAATGAACATGAATTTGGTTCCTAACTAACTGGAATATTTGTCACCACCCACAGAATCAAAACCATTGTTGTCATGTTTCAGAAGAAAAAGTTTCAAAATTGTGTTACTGATGATGTGGTGTGGTAGGATTTAATCTGTGATCTGCATCAGAATTTGCTTGAACTTGAGAAGCATATTGTAAGTTCCAAAGGACATCTTCAATGGATGGTCGGCTCCAAGATTCAGTGGAAATGCTTTTGTTTGTGATGGAAATCACAATGAACAAAGATTCTTGGCAGCAACTTGCTTGCACTGCTGGGTCCACTATCTGCTTCCACCCATCTTCACTGTTGAAACACGCCTGCAATTTACAGTAATATAATTCAGTGTGCTAAATTAACAAACTTCATCGGTCCGAACCCAACCCCAAAGAAATCATCAACTTCAAATGATGAAGTTTTTAAATCATAAACAATACAGCTCATTAATGCATGAGAACTGATCTGATTACATGGCTAAGGAACTTGTTGCAGAAAAAAGAAAAATTGAATGAAGTGGGATTTGTAACATCTTTCCAGTTATTGTGTGATTATTATGAATAATCATGCATGTATTCTGGCCCAATTTGGTATGGAAAAGAAAAAAAATTTTTATTACGCAAATAACGAGATATACAACATATATTATATCCTTATTTATGATTACCCATCAGTTTTTTTTTTTTTTAAAAAAAGGACAGTGTCATTTTTATCCACAAAACTATTTTTTTTCTTGTTTTATTTTCTTTCCATTGTCTTAATTCTATACACCAAACAAGACGAATACATACCATTACATTTGGCAAGATTGCTTCTTTTTTAGCAGATACTGAAGGTCCAAGAAGTGCCTCAAGAAGTATAAATCCAAAGCCATAAATATCATCTTCTAATCTTTTCATTTCCCTGAAATTACAGATATTGAGAAAATCACTCACACGTAAAAAACTCAAAGAAGGACTTGCCCAAAAAAAAAATTCAACTACTGCTGAAATTCTGATAAATCTATCAGAATTCATCTGATTTCTTGTGTACCAAGGAATTAATGAGTTACTTTAATCAATGGAAATCTTTACCATGATCCAGCGTTCTCTCCTTTTCCCTACAAAACACAAGATGAATTGTAATCACTGATATGAACAACGTTTTGCAAGACCAACAAGGAAAAAGAAACAAGAAGCCATACCTCACTCATGTCAGCTTCCTCTGAGATAATGGACAATCCATAGTCACTCAATTTCGCAGTCCAATTCTCATTAAGCAATATATTGTTCGTTTTGAGTTGGTTCTTGACGAAGCCGGGTATCATCCCGGTGTGCAGAAAGTGAACTGCCTTGGCAATGCTAACCAAAACCGCCAATCTCTCAGACCAACTGAAGACCTTGCCGGAACTTGTTCCTACACATACAATCCTGACTTAATTAAAAAGTTGCATACAAAGTCAACAGCTTCAGAAACTGAATTCCTTGAGGCCGAAGTTTCATTCATTGTTATAATTGCTTCAGGTATTGCTTAGTATGCAGGTGATAATCTGATCTCTTAAGTGATTGGAAATTTGGCATGAAACATCATCATCATCCCCATATAAATAGGTTTTCAGGCACTTCAGAAAGTTAACTTATAAGTGATGGTCTTACCAGATAGGTAGCTCCGGAAGCTTCCATTGTGAACGTATTCATATATGAGAAATACGTTTGTGCCATTATTTTCTGCTACAACACCATCAATGCAGTGACCCAAAAGAGATACAAGATGAGGATGACGAAGCCTTGCAAGCAAATCCAACCTCAGTTTGAAATTCCTGAATGAATACTTTTTTGACAATGGCAGGCTCCTTATTGTAACTTGCTTCCCATTTTCTAGCTTTCCTCTGTAAAGCTGCAACACAAGGGAGAAATTTTCATGAGTAACGAATGCTAAAGATTTAACCATATGGCTTCGAGCTATAAGAAAACGCACGCATCAGGTTATTATTAGAGAACCAGATAATGACACTTAGAAACTGAACAGTAAGTTTTGCCTCCAATTGAGTATTACCTTCCCGTATAAATTTTCACCCATAAAGGTAGAGTCGTGAAAATTATTTGTAGCTTGTTTGAGCTCTTCAAGAGAATAGGGCCGACACACGGGCAGCTCTTCTTTGCCTAACTTGGAAGCTTGAGAAATAAATCCTGAAAATTGGCAAATAAAAAATTAAAACTACAATCACTGCTTATGTTCGTTCTCAATAATGGCCAGAAAAAGATTATTATTCACCCAAGATTTTGATGAGAGGAAATGCACAATTCAATCCTACCGGAATTTTACTGTTAATGAGAAACAGAACAAATGTACATCTTTCAAAGACTAGCAAATAGCAAGTCAAATACTTTTAGGACAAAATCATGTGAGAATAAGATCAGACAATATTTGAGTCGTGTGTGTTTGTGTGTTAAAAGATGAAGACAACCTACTTGCATTAGCCAGAATCTCACTGGAGAGCCCAACTGCAGTTGTCGAGCTATCTTGAACTGTTTTATTCAATAGATGCTGCTCTGAGATTCCTCTATGGCAACATCTTCCGCACACAACAATGCCCAGAGCCAGAACCACTATTATTAGAAAAGCTCCAATAATTACACCAACTAAAATTCCAACTCTGAAAGTGTTCTTCTTCACATGAACCTCTGTGCAGTATGATACTGCATGCTGATGCTGAAACTTGGAGGATAAGCAATTTCCTTCAAGGTTAACAACCCTGTTTTCTGACTCTGTTCCCAGACAAGAAGGCAAGAAACCCATCAATTTGTTGTGTGAGATATCAACAAATCTGAGTTTGCTGCCACATTTTAGATTGCTATGAAGGGAGCCACTTAACATATTTGATGCCAAATTCAAGAAAACGATACTGGGCAAAGAGAAAATCTCAGAAGGAGGCGATCCTGTGAGTGTATTGAATGAAATGTCTAGCTGTTTAAGTCCATTTAGCTGACCATATTGCTCGGGAATTTCACCTGAGAACGAGTTTTTGCTCAGAAAAAGCCTCATTAACCCTTTTGGCATATTTGGCAGTGTAGAGGCCAATCTATTCTCTCTCAAATCCAGCACTTCTAAAGCACTCAAAGCACTAAAGTCTCCTAACTGACCCTTCAATCTGTTATTACTCAAGCCAAGAACTGTCAGATTAGTCAAAGAATTGAACCAAACGGGAATTGTACTGTTGAAAAAGTTGTCATCGAGTGCAAGAACTCGAAGATTGGCAATGTTAGAAATCTTTGGAGGGATTGACCCATAGAGAAAGTTTGAACTCAAGTCCAAATGGTCAAGCTCATTTAGTCTCTGGATTTTATTAGGTAGCGGACCCCACATGCCCAAAGAAACGAGACGAAGGACTTTCAAGCTAGTTAACCTGGCAAGAGTAGCCACAAAAGAATCCATAGAGAAGTTTTCTGACAATGTCTGATTCGGAATAGGAGAACCATTAAAATCACTAACCTTTGATGGGTTAGCATCGCCCACTATGCTTAGTTCAGTGACAAAACTTCCCTGGCATGTGACATTTACTTGTGAAGAAGGAGAAGAAGAGCAAAAAGATGACCAACGATTCTTCCATATATCTAGTTGTTTTGGGTACTCCAAGTGCTTCTTCAGCTGAAGAAGCACTTGGACTTGAGATGATTGCAGCTGAGAAGCAGAACACAAGCACCAAGAAGCAAAACAGAGTAGCAGAACCAAGTTATGAAACCCCATGAAAAGTTTCTCTGTTTCAAGAAGCAGAGCAATCACAAATAGAAGCAGTGGTGGGAATATATGGAGAAATTCTGGGATTTTTTGCTTGAAAACCAAAGTGGGGTACTTGAAGATTGATGCATTTAGTGCTTGCACATGGGGGAGCTCTTTGTTCAAGGAGCAATAATGGAGGTCAGCAAGCTTTGCCCTCTCGCCAAGTGGAAAGGTAAGAGACAGAGAGAGTCACTCTGCTGCTTCGGACCACAAGAAAAATTATACCACCATAAGAGAATGGAACAGTCGGGAAGAAATTCAATTAATAAGATGGAATCATGAATCTATCTGTCCATCTATTCTGTCCGTACTCCCTCGTTTCATTGAAAATCAATACTGTTTCAGGGATTCGAGTCGATTCGTTTATCTTCGAAATTGACAGAGTTATAAATACAGGACCCGCACACATTTCATAATGACTTTTATCACTTGAGTGAGCTTTACGTACCCATTGGTAAATAATAATCAAGGGATTTAAAATCCATGCTTTATTTTAAAAACAGAGGAAGTGGACTACTGGGTCGTTTCAGGCTCATCTAACACTCTCATTTCTGAACGGCAAAAAAAAAAAAAAAACACTCATTTCTGAACCTTAAAGTCATTCCCTTCATGTGTGAGTGGGAGAGCCTGGCCGTATTTTTGTAGCCTTCCCCGAAGCTCTTTATTTACTTGGAAGTATCTCTCCAGCGTGATGAGCAAAGATCTTTTGTAATTTTTTTAACAATATAAAAAAAAAGGGAAAAAAAGGTTGTCAGACTCAGAACAAGTTGCGAGTAAAATAGTGTGTGGTGTCTGGCCAAAAAAAAATCGTGTGTGATGGCAGGCTGTTATTTTTATTTTGGATAAGGAAGGATGAATATTTATATTTATTGACAAGGGCACATGACTTTGAAACTGGAGTTGGCTGAGCTCCTTCCCATGTCTTGACAGGCTGGCTCTCCGATCCGCACCTTCTATTTTAGGGTTTGATTGATGGTTTGATGTGTAAGAGGTGATTTGATTTTTATGTTGATGTTAAATATAAAATTTTAATTTATTTTATTTTTATATTTATTTTATTTAGATAATTCTTCTAATAAACTTATTAATTAATAAGGATATTTTAGAAAATATAATACCTATTTATTATAAATAATTAATTTAATTTATTTTCTTAATCTATTCAAATGAGTAAACTAGCTCTTATATTTAAGAGCAGAGGTAATACTCTCTCCGTTTCTTATTATAAGAAACGAATAACCGAATTACGTTGATAAAAAAACAGTTAAAATTAGTTAAGAACAATTAATTTGTAAAAAGTATAATTTTTTGCCAAAAATACCTTCATTAATAAGGAGAAAGAGCATGAGAGAGAACAATGGTAAATTATTAAAAGAAAAAGAAGTGGGAAGGAGGGAGAATGTAAGTTGGAAACAATAAATATGGGTAAAATAGGAAATCAACACAAAAAAGTAGTGACAACTTTTAAGTGTCTCTTATATATAGGAACATGCCATAAGCATCAAATGTCTCTTATAATAAAGAACGGAGGGAGTATCAATTAACTAATTTGGAGAATTGCAATAAAATTCCACCCAAGAGAATTAAATAAAAAAATAAGAAAATTGTAATAAAATCCTACTCAAGAGAATTAAGTACAAAAAAGTCTCTTAAATTATCAAATTATTTTGAAGTTCTAAAAGATCTTATTACAAGAGATTTTATTTGTTTAATTATTAAATTACTTTTTTTTTGTAAGTATGTGTTGATAACTGAAAGAACAATTATTAACAACTTAAAGTGTAACAACTGACAATTATCACGACAGATATTAATAACACATTCTCTCAACCCATCACAAAAATATAATGTATGAATTGTCAATAGTTAACGCGATAGTTGTTAATCGTTACACCTTGTGTTATTAATGACTACATTTTTAATTGTCAATGTATACTTTTAAAAAAACAAAGGTAATTTAGTAATTAAATAAATAAAATTTATTATAATGAGGTCCCTCAAAACTTCAAATTAATTTAATTATTTCAAAAGACATTTTTGTATTTAATTATCTTAGGTGGGATCTTATTATAATTTTTCAAATGTTACTATTTTCAAGGGTCGGTTAACTAATTTGGAGAAGTTAAAGAATTTACTAGATTACTTTTAAGTATTAATATTTATTATTTTTTTAAACTAATTTGTGTAGTTTATAAATTGCTGCATAATCTAATGATACATATAAATATTTTAGAGGGGTCGTATAATATATGTTATGATTAAATAATTTAGTAATAATTAATTTATCAAATTAGTCAGTCTTATATTAAGAGTGAGTGTGTGTGTGTGGGTGTGTTTTTTTTGGTTCAGTAGAGCTTTGTTTTATACCATGTGGTCATGACACGAGGCAGCAAAAGGGGATCTGGCATGGAACATCTGGTTACTTGAGTGCGCCCTCGGCAATTTTCTGTATTATGTTTATATAACCGACTACTTTGTAATAAAGCTTTGCTACTGGTATGCTTCTCCCCAGAAATTTTTTCTTTAATGAAGTACTATTTCTGGTTTTTAATATAAAAACTTATCTGATTTCTGTTTTCATCATAAATATATAACAACAATCTACTTTATCTCTTATATTTATTTATTTTTTTAATATAGTTTTTGTAATAATAATAGTTTTGACTAATACATTTGATCAGTAATATTTAAAAAAAAAACACTTTTTTGTTTCAAATAACTGATTTAACTAATTTTTTAATCTATTTAAATTAATTAATTAGTTTTATATTAAGTATAGAAAATAGTAGGATCCAAACTCTCATGCGTGTTTTCAACTAAACCTTAGAGTTGTGAAATACACTCAACAGAGACATGCTTGTGTAGACGAGGTGACAAAGTCCAACTTTAAGGGAAGACCAGAAACTGAAGGGGTGTTTGGATAGAAACTAAACCATAGTTTCATAAATGTTTTTACGGATTACGAAGTAAATATGTGGAGGAGATTACCTCGTTTTGCGAAAAAGTATTTCTGAAATTACGGTTTTGGGTTTCCCAAACACTCCCTAAAAATGAAAGCAATGAGAAGGCCCGCGTCGGTACACGAGCAGCCTCCGCAGCCACCTGCGATGACAGCCACTATTCAAGATGGTCATCCACTCCTAATATTCTTATATTTGGGCTGCTTTTCATATGCAGAATGTTAACATGAAAAATAAAAAAATACTAACTATAAAACCTAATTAACTAATTTAAATAGATTAGAAAAATAAGTTAATTTAGTTATTTATAATAAATATATATTTTTAAAATATCATTACTAATCAAATTTATTGACTAAAACTACTATTATTAGAATGACCATCTGAAAGGAAAAAATAGATATAAGAAACAAAGCGGATTAAGGTATTATATTTAGAACTAAAATAAAAATCAAATAAGATCTTATGTTAAGAATCGAAAGTAATATATATACAAACACAGATATACATGACCACGCCGTGTGAGGACAAAATCCTTAATTTTTACTGGGTTCATTATTAGGGATTTAATATTTTTAACTTTTGCATATATTATCCTCTTTCAAGTTGTACTCCTACCAAAAACAATTTAGATCATGCTTGGAACCCTTTTGGGCTTTTCATAATAACAGACGATTTACTTTCTACAATATGGCCTCATAAACCTTGTGATATGAACACTCTCTTTTAAGCCGAAAGACCACAAGTTTCATCCTATCTAAATGTGGAGTTGTTAGAGCTTGTCCTTCTTTTTTTTTTTTTGGGGTCAGACTTCTAATTTTTTTTGTTTAAAGGACTATTTTTTAATCTTTGGGAGTGGTTTAAAAAATGTGCCTGCTTTGTTGAAATAAACTCAACGCCAACTTGTATTCTCATTATCATCTGTCACTATCACAGTCCCTCCCCATTACGTCTGACACTAAACCAAGTATATCAAATGTGCAATGTAATCTTGTTGCCAGACTATCCTTGAAGTAGTGATGGCCATTCTAAAAAACATTATGGTACACTATATCATGTAATCTTCAACATTTTCGCTCAAATTAATTGTTCTAAAGGAAAAAATTAACATGTCAATCTTTTATCTCATTTTTAATTAAATCCTTTTGAAGTTTTTATAATTTTCTCAATTATAGTTGGCCAAAAAAAAAAATCTCAGTTACATATGCAATGACTCTTGTTTTGGGAGAAAATAACGTTATTTGAGAAGTTTGAATTTGTGGGTTGAACCCTATGGATGAAAAATGATACTATGAAACTTGTCTATAATGAAAGGATTAATATAATTTTTAGTTTCTTAAATTCGTCTTTATTTTCAGTTTTGCTCTATCAAGTTTTAAGTTATAGGTTTTGAATCTCTTAAGTTTTTTTTTATTCTTGATAACTTAATAAAAACATAGACCATGTTTATTCTTGAGAGATCAAAACCTTTGATATAAAATTTGAGGAATCAAAGATTGCGTAAACCTTAATGGAAATTGACGTTTGGCTTTCCATCAAAAGAGAATTAGTGTTTGGGTTGCCAGTGATTGCTATTATCATGGGTAGGATGGGACAACGGGTTTAGCGGTCGAGCTTATGTTTTGAGCTTCAAAGCATTGATCTCACCCCAGCCGTTATTGTAAAATTCAGCATCCTTATACCAAAAAAAATTGCAAAACCCAAATCAAGTATCTGACTGTGATGAATTTTAATTTGAATTGAATTGTTACCGAAAAAGATATCCCCACTTAATGTTTGACAATGCCTCAACCAGAAAGGACACATACATGTGCTTAGGAAAAAAGAGCTAAGTCATATCTTTTCCAAACTATTTATACATATTCTGTTATTTCTACTATGATATTATATCATCTTACTAATTTTATTATCTGTGGTTGTAAGATGTTCTTTTATAACCACAATGGACTTTTACAATTGAGTTTGTTTGCTGCTTCCATGGATAAATTTTTAAAACGAGTTTAAAGCTTTTTCATCACAGAAGATGTTTGTCAACTTGGTTTGATTTGTTATCACCTTATAAACAATGAGTTTAGCAAATCGGACTGTGACATAAATAATGTATGCCACATTGATATCACATTAATAAGTAATAAACAAAGCTTTGATTTTTCTCAATCCACACTAAAATTACAGAGAAGATATTACCTTTTTAGCTTACCATCTCTGTTTTGGGCCCGCATAGAAGTATCTTTATAAAATTTATTCTATATTAAATAAAATTAAAAAGCATATAAATAATTATAGATGGTTATATTAAATGCTACTCCTCCGGTCCTTATTATAAGACCCAATTTGACTTTTTATTTGGTCCTAATTATA